TAGACCAATTGTTAGGCATTTGTGTTTGTCCCTCGCTTTCACTGAAAGTGGGGGATATTGATTTGGGTTTGTCCGTCTGTCTTTCCGTCTGTCCGTCCGTCCGTCCGTCTGTATATCTGTCTGTCTGTAACGATTTCGTTTCCGCGCAATATCTCGAGAACCCTTTGAGTTTTCGCAATGAAATTTTGCATAGCAACTCCCTTTGGCCTAAACAAGAACCCTATTGATTTTAAGGTCAAAACGTCAAAGGTCAAGGTCATAAATTCATGAATTCTGTCTGTTTTAACACTTTCGTTTCCACGCGATATCTCTAGAATCCTTTGAGCTTTTGCAATGAAATTTTACATAGCAACTCCCTGTGGCCTAAGGAAGACCTCTATTGATTTTGAGGTCAAAAGGTCAGAGTTCAAGGTCGTTAACTTATACATTCCGTCTGTGTGTAACACTTTTGTTTCCGGGCGATATCTCAAGAAGCATTTGAGCTTTTGCAATGAAATTTTATACCATAACTCCCTAGGCCCTCTTTCACCCCTTTCAATGTGTCCCGCCCCGCTTTTTAATTTTTATTTACATGTATTGTATTAAAAGTCGCATGGCACTATTTTTAGCACAGGGGCTTGTGGAGAGTTATTTCGTATAATACAGGTTGTCGGCGGACATTATATTCTTATTACATCTATTAGAACTGTTTAGTAAAGGCTAAATTAGACACCAGTTATTGATTAAAACTTTGACAATATCAAACGTCAATATAAACATTATATGTGAATCAATGTTTCCATTTAATTTGATCTATAATCAAGTGCCTCTGTGGTCTAGTGGTATACTGCTCGCTTAACAAGCGAGAGGCCCGGGTTCAATCCCCGGACGATTCTTTTTTTTTTGGGGGGGGGGGGGGAATTTACTAAATGATACTATTCAACATGTGAAATGAAAAAGTTATGATGTCTGGCGTGTACAAACTCATAAAATCATTATTACTTCTATACACATATTAAAGAATAAGTAATGCAATCTTCTTATCCATAATGGCATTTTATTTATTAATTTACTTCAATATACATGTATACATTTGATAATTCTACAAATACAGAGGGCAGTGTGACCCCCCACCCCCGAACTGCACATGCTCTTCTTTCTTTTTTTCCATAAGCGGGGGCACAAATTCTCTGAATTAGCTTGTTATAATAAATTTGACTACAAAATGTTCCATCTACCTTATCAATAAATAGGGCTCTCAGCGGGTTTGACCGGTCAGCAGGGGATGCATACCCCTTCTACGCACCTGATCCAGCTGTGAGCAAGGCATTAAACAAGGACCACTGAAAACACGAGATAGTGCCTAGGAAGATAATTAGCTTGGAGATAATAGGGAAACATGCTACAGGTGTAAGTTGACGAAGAGAGATCTTAAGTCATTGCTTGTGATACAATTTTGTTGTTAGTTGGCCCAAATCTTCTGTAATAAGTAAACCATCCAAATATGATACATATGTAGCGGACTCTTCGGTGCCTTTTATTTCGAGTCAAACTATATATCGAGTCGACACATAAATGTAAACAAAAACAAGTCAATGAAATTAATAAGAAGTGATATGAACAACCATCAAAAATTAAATGAGCAAGGATATGGGCAAGCTAGAAAAATTGATATGCGGACAACATCAAAACCGAACATCAAGCTTGGGTATGGGGAAACAGCAAGGGCAAAAATTAAAAGAATAATAAGTGATTATTTTAACGGAAGTAATATCAAAAATATTACATGACTTCCAATAGCAAGTTTGACAGAAGTTTTTCAATAACTTAAAACAAAACACTCAACAGGAACTTCGATTGTACAGTTTTAATATTTAAAACAGAATGTAAAGAATTCAGTGTATGAATCAAAAATATAAGCAAAACAAATCACATTTATCCTGATTTCTATTTAAAAGAGGAAAACGGAGTGAACATTCAAAAATATTTCAGAAAATGATATATATATTTAACGATATCTTCTTATTTTATTAGATATTATCATACTATTTTTAACATTATATCACACAACAATAATGACTCTTGATATTCAAATATAAGCATTTTGAGTAGTGCAGATCCAGTTTTGATAAAATTATTGCATACTGGACTGCGAAAATCCATGTCCAGATAATGAGTCAGTAGTCATTAATACTTCTGATGTTATATCTGCTATATAAAAATTATTTTTTTCAAATAAGTTTTTTCTTTCTATGATGTCGTCACCCTGACCCTCGTTGGGCATTGTAAAAAGTGTTTCAGGTTTTGAAAAACTAATTTTTCCATACATTGGCTCTCCACCCATTTATCATAACTGGTTAAGTACCGTAACTGACTTAGACCCCTGCCGGATTTTTTTCTTGGAATGCGTCTAATGAAAGAAGGTACATGTAGCTGGATCAGATATGGTCCTATTCCCTTTATGCATATTATTATAATCTTGCTATGCTATTTAGTTTATTTGATTGTTGGCTCCTGGATCTTTGTATGACTATGCCAGTGAGACATTGTACATGTAAACAACGGGAAGTAATCCTACAAGCTTGTAAGCTTTGCATAGCTTATACTCATTGAAATACATATACTTGATCTTTTTTAATCTAGAGCTTAAATACGCATTTGAAGTTAATAGCTTCCATGAAAGTATGTCTTACAGGTCACTGGGAGGAGTCCATTTACTTAATCTGTACAAATGGAAGATTAGAGAAAAATAGTTTCTGCCACCCTTTATTAGATAAGAATTCATCATTATTCAGTATTAATTTATTATTAATGAAGATAACGATACACAGTATATAAACATTATAATAAAGACTTAAAAATATCTAAACTGCAAATTAAACGTATTAACAAAACATTTAAAAGTAACACTACAACACAAACAAGTATACAGAAAAAATCTTATCTGCTGAATAAAAGACAAAAGACAAGATTCGTTTCGGCTACTGAAGAATTTTGCCTCTGTTCCTTGCATTTATATCTCCGTATGTTTCAGACTTCCTTACCATATTTGTTATTTCTTACAAATTGCAACGATGACTTAAAATTCTGGTTTGAATTGAAACTAACATTATTCTTGTCCCAAAAACCTTTGAATTAGTGATAGCTGTTTTCAAATTTAAGTTTAAATCTGTGCATATTTAAACTTTACTTCCATGACTCTTGATCATTTGCTCCCATCTTCTTGCTAAATTGATATTTCAATATACAAATGAAAAACAAGCATGCTAACTACATGTACATGTTCTAACCCTAGTGGAGCTTTATAGGTGAACAGTTCAAACACTCGTGACTAGCTACAATCTCTATTTGATCCTTCGTGAAGAATTTGTTATTTTCCAGCTCAGGAAAATAAATTAAATTATATTTCTTTTGTTATGCAGTACATGTAATGACAAAATCGGGGACACCAAGGCCATGATAAAGTATCAAAGGACCCTGTGATGTTTTGACTTATGTTTGTTAAAGAAATGCCTCTTTAAAAGGCGAATGTTGTGGCATAATATGGGGTCATGTTTTCCATGTGAATAAAAATAAGGGAAAATATTTTTAAACATTTCTCTGAAGAACAGCAAGGCAAATACGAATCGAGTAAGCTTTGTAGTCACTGGGTTTTTTTTTGGGGGGGGGGAGGGGGGGGGTATGGCGGAAAAACATTAGTGTTCTCACGACAAATCGTGTTATTCTTGATTAGTCTGATCCTAATGTTCTGAAAAACAATAGTAAAGTAATTGAAAATGCTCACAAAAATGTCTTGGAATTTTTTTAATACCAGCTACATGTACTGATCAACAAATATATTTTAATATAAAAATATACATAGCTATCTAGTCATTTTTTTTAAAAATTGTACAGTATTTAGCTTCTATTTACTTCAATAGTTAAATAACACACAGTGTTAAATGCTTGTACTATCTTTGGAATACATCACAGATCACTTGTAATGCCTTTTCATGCTAATAAACTTTGGTATCTAAAGCTAACTTACAGGAAATTTGATTTCTTTAAAAAGGTAGCTATTATTGTACTTTTATGGGGTACAAATGTCAACTTTTTACAGTACGGTTTATATGAGTTCAAAGAAACTTGAGTCGTATTGACCTACATAAAATGAGAACAGTTGCATGAAAATAAATTCAATTTCAAGCTTATTTTGAGAATATTTTAACTAAATAGTTATTTTAAAAGTCATCTTTCCTGGCAGAGGAGCGGATATCCTTAATTAATTGAATGTGTCTTATAGTAACCTGAAGTGGCAATGTTTTACTGTATAACCTTAGTTGGAGCAGCTTAGGCTTCATAAACAGCGAGGCAGTTTATTGGGAAAACATGAACTCTTCTAACTCAGGGTTTTACATGACAGACACATTTGGTGGAGGAGAAACGGAGGAATAAATTATGAAGATGTGGAACAAACACATTATCAAGGCATGTTTCATTGCAGACAAATTCTTAGTCACCATCTGAAATTACAAGAAAACATAAATGCAAGCGTCGAAGTTGCACCACAAACACTAATTCCTGCAAAATGCAAGCATGCATTTAAAGATATGTAAGAATACGTAGAAATGTACTACATTGATATTATTCGTTTCTTTATATTCCAGGAAATTATACAAAAACATAACATACTTTGTTGACTACTTTTGTAATGTGCTGCAAACTTGTTTTCACTTGAAATAACATCATGATTTCTAAGAAATCGAAAACAATTTTAAAATTATACGCTGTTATATTGGTACCATACACTTTCCACATCATTGCAAATGCATTTTTTTTTTAAATTAACACAAATTATTAGTAATACACTACTGGTGGTTTGAAAAAATGCAGACTCTTTTTTAGTAAATCACAAGCGATACTGAAGTAATTGTTGAGACCCTCGTGCGGAAATGTTTTAAGATCTACCGCATAAAACAATGCCTGACCACATCTAGACTATTTTCTATCGATCTCGTCCCCGTGTTCGAGATAGGACTTACTACTAGAATAGGTTACGTTTAGACTCCTCGAAAGAACCGATACTTGGGAGGTGGTTTCTGGAATTTTGGCATTCGTTCTCTCTGTCTCCTCATCAGACATAATATGTTCATCAGAGATTGATTCATTTCTGGTTTCATCCGCACTATGATCATCGGGGATGGAGATCAGGGTTTCATATCCAGGTAATCTATCTACTTCAACAAGTGTATAACCACAAGCACAATGTCTTGTTTCTTTGTTGACGCAATTTAACGGAAGACAGGCACATATTTCGTTAAAGAAAACCTGGCATTTAGAACCTTTGTTTTCATCATCGTCCTCAGACATAATGCCTAAACAAGTCAGTAAACAACTATCTTCATCACAAACATCGAAGTTGTTTGAACATACCTCACACAGTTTGCGTTCACATAATTCATGGCAGACAAAATGGCTGTATTTTTTATTTTTCAGATTTTGTAATCGTGCTTCTTTTGCGGTTTCTTCCTCACCTAGAAGACAGGGAAACACATATTGCATTTCATATTCTTGTTCTTCTGTTGTTATTCTCAAGTCTTCTTTAGTATTATTAAGTTTGTTCAGTTGATTGAAGGTTTCCAGATTATTTTCCGATCTTAAAGAATCCAATAATTTCATAATGTGTTTTTCTTTTCTGTGCAAATGGTCTTCAGTACTCTCTAAGCAGTATTTTTCTAAAATCCTTGGCGCAAATAAAGATGCAATCACCGGAAATAGAATGTTGAAGTCATTATGTCTTCTTTCATCTAGTAGATGAACATAAAGAAATGAGATGTAGATTATTATAATTAATAAGATTGTGAAAGTTGATTTTGCAAAGAGAACAAAAACAGCATTCCGCAGAGGGAAATAAACATTAATCACTGTCTCAAAATGGTCAACTCTTATATCCAATGTGCCTTTCAAATCTAAGACAAACAATAAAATTTGTCGGTATTTCTTAAAAAAAGAATAGATAAAATACAAGATATAGGTTATTCCTGCAAATAAAATTGCAAATATATGAACTTGTGTAGACAAAAGATGTGGCATACCTACAAATAGAGTATAAATTATTGTTTGTAACAAGTAAAGCAGACCGTAAGTAAAGCAATTTTTTACAAAATGAAAATAAAACCCATATACAAATAACCATGGAAAACTTGCTACACAAAAGAACATATTTTTGATTATAGCCAAACTTTTCTTTTTTATTGTACTATTAGAATCTAAATGGTGTGCCCCAGTTTTGTCAGTAGTATGTTGGAGACATTTCCGTATTCGTTCAAAAAGTAACAAAAATAACTTTTCGATATATTTCACTGCTTGTAAATACAGAAAATTTATCAAAGGGCTTAAAGTACACGAGACAAAAATAAATATATTGATTGGGAAAATTATAGTCATATTTATTAATACATAAATACATTTACGTATGCATGATTTAGTTTTAGACATATTATTTCCTATTTTTGTATAGTTTCTCACTGGAAATAGAAAAATTTTACTCCAGAAATAAAGAGAACCAAGCTTTTTGAATCGCCAAACTATTTGTGAAAAAACGCCAATACTGTTTTTTTCATAATTACACATAAAACTAGTTATAATTGTAACGGGGACCGTTACAGATGTTCCCCAAACGCTCCCCAACACCCTTTTGGTGTCTTATTTCCTGTAAGCTTCATTAAATAAGCCAATGAAGTATATTGATAGTTTTTTGCATTTCACGCGCGCGCACGTGCATGCATATGCAGGATGACCATGTCATCTCATCTATACTATTAATGCATCTTTATATTCTCAGTATTAAAACATTTCATCAAAAAATAAATAAGTTCCAGCTATATCAAGTATATTGGTCATCTTAGCATTGCACGCATGCGCACCTGCATGCATGTTCATAATGACCATGCCATTTTGTCTACACTTATAATATGTCGGTTTATTCTTAGTATCAAAGCTTTTCATAAAAAAATATAAAAGTTATGGCTACATTAAGTATATTGGTCATTTAACACATTGCACGCGCGCGCATGTGCATTCATGAGCATGATGTCCACATCATCTTGTCTACACTTTTAATATATCTGTATATTCTTAATATCAAAGTTTTTCATAAAAAAATATAAAAATTACGGCTATATTAAGTATATTGGTCATTTAACACATTGCACGCGCGCGCACGTGCATGCATGCATGCATGCATGTGCACGATGACCATGTCGTCTTGTCTACACTTTTAATATATATAAAAATTTTGAGTATCAAAGCATCTCATCAAAAAGTATAAAAGTTACGAGTATATCAAGTATATTTGTCATTTTACGCTTTGCGCGTGCGCACACGTGCATGCATGTGCATGTTGACCATGTCATCTTGTTTACACTTTTAATATATCCTTATATTCTGAGTATCAAAGCATTTCATCAAAAAATATAAAAGTTACAGCTATATCAAGTATATTGGTCATTTTACGCATTGCACGCGCACGCACGTGCATGCACGTGCGCTCAAAATGACCTTGATTCCGCAAATCTACATAACATGCCTATTAACCCTAAAAAGGTTTCACCTCAATCGGATGAGTAGTTGACGAGATCACTCGCGGACAAAAAAGTACCCAGGAAGAAGAAGAAGAAGAAAAATAATAATAATAATAAGAAACAGAGTAAAAACAATATGTTCCCCAACTTCGTTTGGGGAACATAATAAGAAGTTGGAATAAATCGAAATAGTTTTCCATTTAAAGATTTGTGACTATTTTTTGATGTTGTGTACATGTTTGTAATATCAAATAATATTATGTGATCTTTGGTCTTAAAATATGCAAATACATTAAAATTCAAAATAAGTAAAATAAACAAAAACATGGATGAAAGTACAATTACTCTCATAATGTCTTCTTCCGATTTCCCTGTAGTTAAGTCAAAAACCCTCGGATATTTTCTTTTATCTGTAGGAAGGCAACTTTCACAAAGAGCCAATGCTATTAATTTCATACAAAAGAAAAAGAAACCTAATAATAGAATTAAAAATGTGAAACGAAAGACACTTATGAATAAATGAGTAGTCTTATGAAATAAAACGTAAAGTAAGAAGCGTTGAAATGTAAAAGGGAAATCAGCTTTTGTATAAAATGACACATGCCTATGTTCTTTTTCATCGCGAACAGCAATGGATACAAATGCAGGATAAAATGAAATGAATATAACTACAATTGCAATGATAATATAAACGATTGGAGATTTTGTAACTATTTCACGTTTTGACACATTAAAGTTATCTGAAAAACATTCAAAATCATAGCCGATAGATACATGCGAAATATTAAACAAAAATAATTTTGACTCTTGGTCTTCAAAATATCTATGACATATCATTCCATTCCCTGTACCATTAACAATTTTTGTTAAATATTCGTAAATGAAATTAGTGTGAGATGATCTTTTGCAGTCCTTCTCGTTTTCTATATCTATTCTCAGATGAAAATCGTCCGTCCCTTTTCGAAGTAGCCCAAATGTGTATAAGTCAATATCTAGTGGGTATCTCAGAATATGTTCAGAATCTTTTGTGACCCATATCCATTCAGCCATCCTATTCCTGTCAAAATCATCGTCGGCAATTTCGTATATTCCAAATATTTGAAGGTAAATATAAATAAGTTGGTTATTGTTGTCCTGAATCTTCTCCAAAAACATTTTCTGATGCTTTCCGAGTGAATTATCTTTGACTTGGCACTGTTCAGTTGATGATATTGGCATATGATGCACTGTTAGCAAGAGGATAGTGAAGATGGAAATATTTTCCATATTTCTAAAAAAAAATATTAATAAACACATAAATAAAGAGTATGAATCTGTAAAAGAAAAATAGTTTAATTTGAATTTAAATTGTTTAAAACTAAGACCCAAAGAAAAAGTATACTGTAAATTCCTAAATATATGTGAGGAATCAAATATCGCTTTAGCTCCACTAGCGAAATAAAATAACTTTTTAAAATGTCTTTTTTAGGGTGCTGAACTCCATATGAAATCTAATGATGAAACCGCCCACTCGCGATTTCATATTCTCTCGACTTGACGTCTAAGAGGCATTTAGCGATATATTTACATCCACTGAATATTATACTCCTTTATTTCTTAAGAAAACCATTGCCGTTCATCAATCTCAAAAATCCACTAAGCATATCACCTCTACGGATTCCTGGAGCAGTATCTTTTCCATCAATGAAACGTACAATGTCGTGCATATAAAAATACACTATTTCATTTACTAAATCATATTTTAATTGAATATTTGCACAGATATAAATATAAACAATAAAAATGTCTTTCTTTGTTAGTACGGGATTTAAAGTTGTAGTTATTGCAGAAAAAAAACATAACCCGCTAACGTGGGTTATGCATTTTTTCTGCAACAGCTGCAACATTAATTCCCGTACTAACAACCAAAGAAAGCATTTTATTGTGTAAAGCACTCGCATAAAATAAGGAATCTACAATATTCCTTGCATCATTTGTTTTAATCCTTAGAATTCATTTACTTTAATGTTAACATTAATTCGATCAACCACCAGTGTATCACAGATGCAATAATTGTCCAATGATTGACTAATATGATATACGTCACTCATCGTGTATTTACTAGCTTTCAAATGCTATTGTAATAGGATTTTAAAGGGATGAATATTTATATTTGCTATGTTTATCTACTAAGCCAAATCTGAAATTGATTTGAATGCCATTTTCGTGTTTACTCATGCGTAGAAAAATGCACGGAAAAAGTGACGTCACACTAACATATAGAGACGTTAATAAAAATGTAACGATAAAGGGCAGCGAATTATTCAAACATTGAGTATATTTTTGGTGCTTTTGACACGAACAATGTAAATATAGGGAATATTTTTAAATTTAGTATGAATTATTGGTGTTTAAATCACACAGACTTGCACGTAGGCATATTTTTCATGAAGCGCTATGCGCATGAAATATGCCTACGTGACAAGTCTGTGTATTTACACACCGATAACTAACACAAAACTTTAAGACATTCAACAACAAAAAATGTCTCAACAACGGTCACTGTCAATATTTATTATTTCCTTTAATATTGCATGACAAGCTCGATGCCCAATGAAGCATAAGGGAACTCTTAAAACATCAAAGAATGATCATGCAGGTATCATGGATGAGTTAGAAGCCCATGTCGACCGGTTCCACCTGCCTGGCGCTTCATATCATGATCTGGTAAACGGAAAAATTCGTTGACGATTCATTGTATTTGTTTGTTTAACGTTCCTTTCGAGAAATTTTCACTCATAATAAGAC